ATGTGCTCTCCCATTTTCCAAGAATGGAGACAGTATGCCTGGTATTCTGGCGGTTATGTGGACAGTTGCGCTCCGAAATGTGACAGACCAATTCAATATTGCTTCGACCGGAAAGTTTATGGAAAGTGCCAATTATCTGGGTGCAAAACAATGTCAATGGTCAAATGCGCGTATTGTGCCAAGAACATATGTTTCCAGCAGTTTGTCATCGAATGCTACCGATGTGTTTAGAATCCTCAACTGTTTTTTCAATTAAAAAAAAAATATTCGATGAACCCATGCATATTTGTGAATTTCTTCAAAAATTAAATGTCTGTTTTTATTCTGGAAAATGCCTATTCATAACGAGAAACTCCCGAAAAACATGTTTAAATTGCGTAAATTTTATTCCAGAGCCAGTTCTGGCAGCTTAAAATAAACAAAAAATTTTGCAAAATTTTTGGGATCGGGAGAATCGAACCTACAACCTTCCTCCTCTGAACTTGCCATTTTACCACTTTACCACACTGCTGATTGAAATCTATTGTTTTAAAAGAAATACACTATTTCGTGAAAAAAATTTCACGGGAAATTGCTTAATCATAGGGAAACTTTTCTAGGTCATAACTCAGCTCATGTGAGCATTTTGCTGATTTTTTTAAACAGATTTGGATTCCTCATAAGCTCTTCTATTTGCTCCCAAACTTTCAAAAAAAGTTAAACCCGCTCCCTCAAGTAACTCCCTTGTAAGATTTTTAGATTTTCAGATTTTCATAATTTCCGAATTTAAGGATATCGAACTTTTAGAGTTTCTGAATCATAAAATTACAAATTTTCAGTTTCTGAATCATAACTTTACAAATTTTCCAGAGTTTCAGATTTTCAAAAACTTCAGAACTTCAAGTTTTCGGAGTTTCAGATTTTTAAACTTTCAGAACTTCAGAACTTCGAAGTCTTAGAAATTCAGAACTTCGAAATTTCCGAATTTGAGAGTTTCAGAATTTGAGAGATTCAAAATTTCAGAATGCCGAAAGAAACTCCTGAAGACCAAAATTTGGAGTTCCTCCGTTTTTTATCTTAATTGCCAATTCAGTTTCCTCATAATTAATCCACCCGTACCAAGAAGTGTCTAGTTTCTCTTCGACTTCCAACTCCTCCTATTCCTTGTTTGTTTCTCCCTTCCAGCGTGCTCAAAAAAGAATAAATAATGGGAGATACTCATGGAATTAATCTAATCAGATGCACACATTCTGCATCGTCAAGCATGCACCTCCACACTTTTTGCTCTCTCTTATTTCTTGTTTTTTTGCCATCATTTGGAGTTTTTTCTGGGAAGTTGAAAATCAAATATTTGAAATTGTTTCTTCTGAAAAGGTTAGAACGCTTTTATCCCGAGGTTTATCAATGTCTAGATACGGAAAGTTGGAAATATAAATATTCCCAGTTTCAGATATTCCTAATTCGGAAACTGAAAATCTCGGAATTTGACTGTTCTTTCAGGATTTTAAGAATTTGGAAAATCAGAAAAAATAATAAAATCAGAAATGCGAAAAGTGAGAATTTTTAAGTTCTGAATGTGAGAGAGATTCAGGTTCTCAGAGGTTCGAAAAAAACAAAATTTTTATAAATTCTGAAAAGTTTATTTTCGAAATTCTGGTTGTAATGAACCTCTGGAATTTGAACATTCATATTTATATCTGAATTCAGAAATTTAGCAGATTTAAATTTCTAAGTTCTCAAATTTCGGAGTCTCCGGATCTACATTATTTGAATTTTCGATATTTCAAAACTCCGAGTTTTTGAATTCACTGATTTCTTAGCTTCCGATTTTCTTACTTTTTGAATTTTGAATTTCCGATCCCCTCGATTTTCAGATTTTTAAGGTTAAGCCTCACACGTTCGGAATTTTAAAAGACTGAAGTTTTGAAGTTCACAAATTCCAGAAACTCCGGAAATACTTAAGCTTAATGAATTTCACACAGAATTGGTAACTTCAGAAGCTCAAAGTTACATCTTCTAAATAACGTTTTAAAAATATCCATCTTTTTCAGAACGCGTTCCACATTTCTAAACATTCCCATCAATATAAAACATTTTCAGATGAACAATTCCTCGGATCTGATTCCTCCGAAATGGCCTCTCAAAGCCTTTTACGGAATGTCGATTGTCTCGTTTCCTCTGTATTTTACTGTTTTTGTGTGTCTTTTACGTCTTCGATGTCTTTCAAAAGCATACAGCACAACATTCTACTCAATATTATTACAACATGTGAGTTGTCGTCATTTCGACTTTCCCAATTTAGTCGAAAGAGCACTGATGCTTAAACTTCTGTTATGTTCGAACAAAAAAGAAACAAACTAGAAACATCAGACTAAACTATACTGTTTCAGTGTATCGCTGATCTTCTAGCCATGTTCCTATTCTTCTTTACCAATTCCGTTCGCACGGTACCCGGAATTCGCGAGTTTTACTTTGAGTACCAAAGTTATTATCTCGCAGCTTGTGAGTCATTTTTAATTAATTTTATAATTACCCTCAATTACAGCGAGCTATAACCACATCTACTACTTCCTCTACATTCGATGCACCGGAATTGTCTTTCTGTCTCTTCAACGGTATCTCGTTATAACATGTCCTAATTCTATTATCACTCATGTAAGTGGGAACCATTGAAAAGTTGATATTGAAATTTCAAAATGCTTTCAGAAAGTTCAGCATGCATCGAAACTGAAAATAATTTTAGTTTATTGGATAACACCGACCTTAATCAGTTTGGTGGTTTTAACCGATACGAACTTCCAGTATGATAAGTTGGAGACTATGGCAATTATAGCCGAGCAATCAGTGATTAAGGTAATGTGCAGGTTTGAGAGCCCGTTAGCCAAAACTATTCCAGAGAAATACGTTGATGGCTCTGATCGTTGTTGGATTGACGTGTATCTTCTGTTCCCTGGCATACGGTGCACTTTTCTATTATGTCAGAAAACACACATCTGGAATGTCAAAGTCAGAATTTCACAGATTTTTTTTCTGAAAAATTCTGTTTGTGTTTGCAGAAATCTCCGCAGAGAACTTCATCTGGCGTTCCAAGTTTTTGTTCTTCTCTTGGCTTTTTTTGCGATTCTTGCTTACTATGGTTTTCAGAACTACTTCTCGCAAATCTCAAATGTAAGTTGGTCTCCGAAAATACCATCCAATAAAATATGCAAAAAGGTATTTTACTGTTGATTTTTGGCTATTTTGACTATTTTTCGAAGTATGGAGCTCTGCTGTCAAATGTCGGATCACTTTGAAAACTTCGGAAAGTGTAAAAAAGACCTAAATTGAAAACTTTGCATTCACAGAACTTCAAAACTTTTTGGGAGGTCCTAGTTTTTTAGCTCATTGCCGATTTCTGAATGACATCAGTTTTTTCATGCTTTCAGTACAAAACGGTCCAAAAAGGGGTGTCTTTCAGAAATCGGGAATAAAATAAATTCTTAAAAAACTCTGTGAACGCAAAGTTTTAATCTAGATCAGTTTTTCACTGTCCAAAATATTCAAAGTGATCTGACACTTGACACCCGAGCTCCAAACTCATGAAAATGGTGAAAATGGCAAAATCAGCCGAAAAATAAGTTTTCGCAGATCTTATTGGCCACTACAGTATATAAAAATTGAGAGTTTTCTTTCAGACGGGACCTGGAATTTTTTACATGCGTGCTTTGTACCCTGTTGCTAATGGATTGCTCTCCTATATCAATCCTTATTGCATCTTGATTTTGAATAGGGATCTAGCTCGGCAAGTATATCGAACAGTGACTTGTCATAAGTACAAAGTTGTAAGGGATATTTGGACAAAGATCCAAAACACAAATTTCATTTTATTTCAGAGCGAAGTTCAAGTCTCCGTCAACGCATCTCAATCCACAAAACATTCGGTGACCAGTAGAAAAGAGGGATCACGGAGAGGTGAAGGAGGAGCAAATCAAAGAGTTATCTTTGCTTGAAAAATCAAAAATCTTTTGTAAAAAGGAGAAAGGAAATAAACATTTTTCAATTTAATAGATTGACTGTATACAGCTGTAAACTTTTTTGTTGTTTTCATAATTTTCTGGAAAGCACAAGATGCTTCTTTTGTTGTTTTTCTGGAAGAGAAGAGATTTTTGATCTCAACCGGGGTGGAAAATAAGGTACCTCAGAATAATAAATAATCATAAATAATACTTTCTCAAATCAGATGCATTCCGGATCGTCGAGTTGTATCTTTGTACCTTTTTTCATATCTTACATCAGTTTTCTTTTTGACTAATTTTGATTCAAAATTCCCACATTGAACAAAAGGAAACTCCTGTGTATTTAGTTTCTTCTCTTTTTCCTCTGAAAAGCAGAACCAAATAAGAAATTCTCTTCTTTTTAACGAGTAAAAGGATGAGAAGGATGTATGTTTTTTTTCTTTCTCAATCATTGAACGTTTTGTCTAAAAGTAAATTGAATTTGTTTTCACTTGTGTCTCATCGGTTCCGCCTACTTTAAGTGGGTTCTGAAAGGAACATCTTTTTCAGTTTTTTTGCATGAGGAGAGTGACCAGAGTTGGCATACAGTAATCCATCAATCAATTTTGAATAGGTTTTCTCATCATGTCAAAAAACATCCTGAGAGATACTGTAAACCTTAAGAGGGCCCTTAACTTTTACCTTTCAGTCAATTTTTATCGGCTTCTGTTAAAGATATAAAGAAGTTGTCAACTGATAAATTGTGTATCATAATATGATGAATGTTTTGCCAGTTGATACATTTTTGATACTTTCACAGGAATCGAGATGAACTGGCTCAAACTTGACTTGGGCCCTTCTATTACAGGTTTTTCGCAAAAAATATTTCTTAAATCTGCTCGCTTCCAAAAACCACCTTCCAAATATTTTTCGGCTCATATTTCATTTCTGCTTCCTTTCCAGATTGTTGTTTTGAGTTTATTTTTCAATCTTTTCTTTGTTTGCTCTTCCAACTGAAAACATTTACTCCACAATTTTCAGTATTTCTTGATCCATTGCTCATATTCAAAATGAACGATTCTTCTTCCACCACGGATTTGATTCCTCCGAAATGGCCGAGTAAAGTGTTCTACATGATGTCTCTCGTTTCACTTCCGCTGTATATTATTGTCTGTGGATGTCTTTTACGTCTTCGAAGTGTTTCGAGAGCCTATAATACGACTTTTTACTCTATTTTGTTGCAGCATGTGAGTTTTTAGAATATTCGGTGAAGCATAGAATCAGTCATCATCTCGAGTAATGTGTTTTGAAGAGTTTCCCACACACCTTACAATCTGAAAACAACTTTGATGTTTTGAAAGTGCGCAGTGGTGGGAAATGGTTTTATAAGGATAATTAGAGTTGCAGAAAAATAAAACATAGATCAAAAAGTTAATTGATGAACTACTCATTCCAAAAAAAGTTGACAAAATTGTTTTCAGTGCATCGTCGACATCATAGCAATGCTTTTCTCTCTGGCCCACACTCTTCTGAAGAGCTTATCAGTAACTCGAAAATTCCTTTTCGACTACCAAGAGTATTATGTGGCAGCAGGTGATCTGAAAAAAAAATCGATAAAAATTAAAACCATTTTCTTTTCAGCCGGTTACAACTCTGTCTACTATTTCCTTTACATTCGATGCACTGGAATCGTGTTTCTGTCCCTTCAAAGATACCTGATTATTACTAGCCCTACTTCTATCCTCACTCAAGTAAGTCAGATATATTTTGATGGACTTATTGAAGTATTTTAAAAATTCAGAAAGTTCAATTCGCATCGAAACTGCAAATATTTTCTGTTTACTGGATAACACCAACATTAATCAGTTTGGTGGTTTTGACGGATACTAATTTCGAGTATGAAAGTTTCGAATCAATGGCGGTTATTGCAGATCAAGAGGTTATCAAGGTATGAAAGACTTCTAACCATTCAAAAATTTTATTTGAAAAAGGTATTTTTAGAGAAATACTCTTATGGCACTAATAGTAGTCACCTTAACATGCATTCTCTGTTCCATGGCCTATGGTGCACTATTTTACTACATTAGAAAACACACTGCAGGACTTTCGAGGTGCTCAGTCTCTTCACATTAACTATAACCACCTGACAATTTCAGATCTGTCCGACGAGAAGTTCACTTGGCTTTCCAAGTTTTTGTACTCCTATTAGCATTTTTTGTCATCCTTCTGTACTATGCATTTCAAAATTATTTTTCCCAAACTCATAATGTAAGAGTATCATTATCAAACTACAGTAACTTTGAAAACTTCAGACTGGACCCATATTCTACATGCGAGCCTTGTATCCAGTGGCTAATGGATTGCTTTCCTACATTAATCCATTTTGTATTCTGTTTTTAAATAAGGATCTCGCACGACAAGTTATCCGTTCGTTGACATGTCATAAGTATAAAGTGGTAAATAGATTTCAGCCGTTATTATCATTAATTAATTATTTTTCAGAGCGAAGTTTCCAAGACATCGGGGATAGCATCGACTTCTACCAAACATCACAGTTTTCATCGAAATGTGGTTCAAATCGGATCAAAGAGAACAATACCGGAGAGAAAGGAAATCAATCGAGTTCTTTTTTAAATAATTGTAGTTTTGATGTAATTCTGACAGGTTTTCATGTACATAAATAATAATAAAGACCTAGTTTATGAATTAAAGTGGTTTGAAATACTGTTCGAATATTCAAAATAAAACAATTTGTTTCTTTGACAATTTCGAGAAACTGATCAAAAAATACTATTCTGTTCTCAAAATAACAATCTTTACTATTAACAATCACCAAATTCTGTCTGTGTGCCCGTTTGTTCCCATTTTCACAGACGATCAGAAATAGCAGCAAGATGTTGCCCGTCTATTTTTCATTTTGAAATTTTGTTTCGGACGTCATCTGGAGACGTTACTCCATTCCTACAGTGCAAATCTTTCAAAAATAATATTTACGTCATTCCCGCCCAACCCCCTTTTTTTATTCTTTTCCACGTTATATCTGACAAAAAGGTGATTTTGTGGAAATAATTATTTAGTCTTAGTTTTGAAAGAAGAGAGAAAGAAAAAGTTCAGGAAACTTTAAAAATCTGACTTTCTGAATCCCCGAACTTCTCAAAAACTGAATTTCGGAGATTCTGATTCACGAAATTTGATTATTTTTTTTCGAAAATGCGAAATTTCTAACCATTCCTATGCTTCAAACATTTTGGTTTCACTCTGAAATTCTAAAATTCTAATTCAGAAATTCGGAAAGTTGGAAAAACGGTAACTCGAAAATACCGAGATTTGAAACTTCGGAAATTTTGAAGTTTGAAAATCAATTCAAATGTCCAATGTTTCGGAAATTCAGAAGTATAAAAATTCAGTTATTCGGAATATTACGAAATTAAAAAAATTGAAAGTTAGAACACTCGAAATTTTGAAAATCCAAAATCTCGAAAGAAAAAAACCAGAAAAACCAGAAACTCAGAAGTTCAGAATATCAGAAAGCCCAAGTTCGGAATTAAAAATTCGAAAATTCATAAACTTTGTGAATCAAAAACTCAGAAATGTGTTTTAGAGAAAATTCTGAAAATCTTTTCGTTTCAAAATTTTTAATTTTTGGAATTTGTGAAGTAGATTCTCAGAAAGTCGGAAATACGGAAACTCGAAAATACAGATTTTCAGAAATTATGAGTTCTGAAATGAAGTATTTTAATAGAAAAATCTATGAGTTCTAGAATCGCAGTTCCGAAAATTCAGGACTCCTGAATTCCGAAACTTCTGAAAAAAATTATGTTGTCAAATTTCAAGATATTCGGGAATTCAGGAAAAATTATTAGTTCTAAAAATTAGGAAATTTTGAAAAGTTCGTGTATCAACTAAGACACATTTCTGATCTACATTTCTGATTTATCTGCCCAAGCCCAAACTCAATCGGTTAAGGCTGTTGTAAGCGGGAGCCAGAAGGTTTAGCCCCGAAGGCGCATAAGCAGACTGTCACTCCAGTTTATGAAAGTTGACAACACAATCAACTAAAACTTCCTCTTCTGATTCTCTCCGATTTGGAGATTCAAAAGTTTTTAGTGAAGCCAAAAGATTGTAGCCGCCGACAGGCGGCGGAAATCGACTGGTTTGTAACAAATGCAATTCGATTCGAATTGCAAGAGTCTGTTGATGGTCAAATTGATCGGGCAATTCAATCAAGAATAATGAACAAAAACTGGAAATTTGAATATATTCAAATTTTGGATGTGATATTTGCAGTCTGATACTTTGCATTTTCCAAAATTATTCCCTGATTCACATACCCATGAAGAAGTTTGCAATTTTCAACAATTTTGCTTTTTTCAGTACGGTGAATCCTGGCTTACATAGCAAAATTCAAGCCCCCTCAAAAGGTCTGATCTTGGAGAACTTTCAATGAACAAAAACATAACTTATTTCATCACGAATTTTAGGCAAATAGCTCGGGAGTCTATAAATCACTTTGTACTCTCTTGTACCTCCAAATTGTTGTTCCCCCCAAATTATGCGCCTGAATTTTATGAATGCCTTGTTTTGCCAATTATCGGATATCTGAATTTTCTAGAATCCGTCTCAGGAATCTGTCTCTTTTCTTCATGAAAAATATCCGTTTCAAAGTGTTTCCTCTTTGCATCAAATAATCAAAAAACTAATTTCCGTCTGAAAACGAGAATTGCATTTTTTAATTGAAATCGAAGAGTTCGTAGTCTCTACCTGACAGCTGATTTCCGGAGGGATTAATTGTTTGACTCTCGTTCGACTTCTGGTCCTTTTCTCATGAATTTATATTTATTCTCTTTTTTTCGAAGCCAGCTGTTTTCAATTTTCAGAATATCATTATAGTCTATTCGGAAAACTTCCAGGATTCCGTTTTAGAACTTGTAGTTTGCAGTCCCTTTTCCCAAAATGAGTGATTCTGCACCGCCGAAATGGCCAATGCTGGTTTATTATGGAATGTCACTGGTATCACTTCCTCTATACCTTTTGGTATTTGTCTCATTTTTACGTCTTCGGCGTGTGTCAAAAACTTACAACTCGGTGTTTTATTCAATTTTGTTGCAACATGTGAGTTTCGAATTTTCACGGTTTCAGGACCGTCAGATAAAATAGCAGGTCTCACCTAGTAATCCAATGCTTGAGAAGTCCAGCCGTAATTAAACGAAAATTCCAGTGCATCGCTGACCTTCTAGCCATGGTATTCTTCTTTGGCACAAACCCAATGCGAGTTCTCCCTTACATTCGTGACTTTTATTTTGACTATCAGCAGTACTACATCACTGCGGCCAGCTATAACTCTGTCTACTATTTCCTGTATGTCAGATGCACTGGAATCATGTTTTTATCCCTTCAGAGATACTACGTCATCTGTTGTCCAACTCATAAACTAACTTTTGTGAGTCCCGAAACCCCTTTAGATGTACACAATTCGATTTTCAGAGAGTTCAAGCAGCATCTAGCCTAAAAATCATTCTAATATATTGGCTGACACCAACACTGATTAGTGTAGTGGTTCTGAAAGATACGGATTTTAGTTACGATAATTATGAGCGGATGGCTATAGTAGCAGATCATGATGTTATTCAGGTCGACAGTAAATTCTTATCCACTATAATTAAACAATAGTTATGTTATAAGTGATGTATCTGAAACAGAAGATTTCAGAGAAACACTTCGATGGCTTTGATAGTTGTGAGCATTACTTGTGTTGTTTGCTCTTTTACTTATAGTGCTTTGTTTTATTATATCCGACAACACACTGCAGGATTCTCAAAGTCCGTATTTCCCGGTTCCAGTTTTCTAGATTTTTCCAAACTTCCAGATCCCTTCGTCGTGAAGTTCATCTGGCAATTCAAGTTTTCGTTCTGCTCCTAGCTTTTTTTGCTATTCTAGTTTACTATGGTTTCCAGAATTATTTCTCGCAGAGTGATGATGTTACTCCCTTCCTTTTTGAGGCTACAGTAATCCAAAAAGTTTCAGACCAAGCCAATTTTTTACATGCGAGCTATGTATCCTGTGGCAAATGGGCTGCTCTCATACATCAATCCATTTTGTATTCTTTTTCTGAATAGGGATTTGGCTAGTCAGGTCTTCCGGACAGCTACATGTCACAGAAATATTACGGTATGTGATTCCGAATCGAAATCAATAATAAAAAATTTTCAGAGCGATTTTCAAGTCTCTGCGATCATAACTACTTCTACCAAGCATCCGATGAAGAGAGATGCAAGTCGTGATGGCCAAACCCTCCAGTAACATTTTGAATAACTCTAAGTCTGTGACAAAACTGTTTACAAAAACTGAATTTATCTCAATTCTCTACAAAACATCAATTCCAATTCTCATTCTCCCTGTAAACCCGTTTTTCAGTCTCTTCCCTTCTCAAACTCAACAGATTCCCACGTACTTATTCTCGTAGGTACTTGCTTTGTCTTTGAGTGAATAATATCCAAAGACAGTTAGAGTGTCTCGTCGTCTGTGTCTCTCCCCTCCAAAACTCTGAACGGCTGTAAAAGTATAAAAACGAGTTTCTGCAGTACGGATGCTACGAATTACTTCTCCTCAAAAATACAAAACGCTTAACCTTGTTCAGACGCCAATTTGAGGACTACTGTACCTGCACATCCGGGTTTCGAGTCGAGACTCCCGACGCGCTCAAGGACGATAAAATATGTTAACACTAAATATTTTGGGCGCTTTCCGAAAACACATTTTAATAAAGAAACAAGGTTACAAGTGCAATAACCCTGAAATTTTCTTTTCGATGGATCTCGCCGCGAAAGTCTACAGTAATCCGAGCGGGCGGCGTTTTCACATTTTTTCATCAATTTTTCATACATTATTTTTTAAATTTTCTTGGTCCTTTTTTCAACTGTTTTCGTCTCAATTATCGATTTTTAGGTCACTTTTGACGATTTGAAATTCAAAATTATTAATTTTTGGGTCATTTTTCATAGAATTTCCTATTTTCCAGCAAATGAGTAACCTCCGATCTCGCCGAATCGACGAAATTTTAGAAGACGTCGTGATTTGGCGATTTGTGGCCAGTCGAATTCGAACGCCTGATAGAAAACTTCGCCCGTTTGTCGATGGCGATGCCACGTGGCAAGAATTCAAAAAATCGCACAAAGGATTTCCGAAATCGGCTGAGTACTATGCTAAAAAGTGCGGCTTTTTCAGGGCAAAAAAACACGATAATCGATTTTTATTGCAGGTTCGACAGCGTTTTGGCTCCGAATTTGGAATTCGCGTCATTTGAAGATCGTCAAAAACTCGACTTGTTCTGGGCACTGGGTATGCCAATTACAAAAAATTTCTTGAAAAGGTAGTTATTTTTTTAAATTGATTTTCAGCTGAAAATTTGAAAATTTTGGAAAAAAAGTTTGCAAAACTTTTTCTCATATTTTCTCAAACCCGTCAAAAAATACCGGTTTATGAGCTTTTTTTGAAAATGTTTCGAGCAGGTTCGCTCCAATGATATTCTGGCCATTTTCGGAAATTTTCATTTTTCGCCTAGTCTAGTTAATTTTTATCGATTTTACTGGTTTTTGGGTCATTTTTCCCGGATTTTCGCATTTTAAAGGTACCCATTTTCTCACAAATTTCTTTGCAGAGTCCAAGACGAGTATCAAGTGACTTGCGACGCGAATTGGTATATCACCAGCTACAAGAACATGGGAGAGCATGAGCAATGGGTGGAAACTTCTGGAAAAGGAGCGGAAGAAAAATCGATAAACAGTCGAGAAATGTGGAAATTTCTGTCGTCGGTGATTCGAGATCCGGTCACAAAGCTGAGCAATCGGTATACGGTATCTCCTGACTCGTGGATTGAACTATATTCGAAAAAATCGTTGGCCGCTCATGAGCACTTTTTGAATGAAATGGCTCCGAATTTGCACATGGAACCGTTCGAGATGCACAAAAAAATCGATTTGTACTGGGCGCTCGGAATCGTGGTGAATAAGAAATATTTGAGAAAGTGAGTGGCCGGTATTTTGCGAAAAAATTCGAAAAAACCTCAAATAATCGAGAAATGTCAGAAAACATTTTCAGATTACACAAACACTACGATTTGACGATGGGTCGGAAAGGCGTGATTCTGGTGTACTCTAAGAAGACGTCAGATTCAGAAACTCCGAAAACATCGAAAAAGCGACGAATCGATAATCGATTAGAAAATTCTGGAGATGTCGATCCAGACGACGGGCGGAAGCTAAAAAAGATCCACGTGGCAGATTTTCGAACTTTTCTATAACGGAAATATGGAATTTTCTCCTTCGCGTAGCTAAACATCCGGAAACTGGTGAATTCGAAAAGTACAGTATCACCGAGGAGACGTGGCAGACGTTTCGAGAAGAATGCTCTTCAGGAATGAACTCTAATAAATCGGCGGCGTCTTATGAGAAATAGTGAGTCGAAAATCGATAATTTGGATCCACAAATCTTTGAACTTGATAAAATTCGCATGAGAGCGCATTTACATTTCCGCCCAAACTTAATTCATCAAAATGCGGGAAATTTCACACGTTTTCGTATAGTTTCTATCAAAATATGAAGTTGCGCTCTAATGAGAATATTCGCCAAAAATTCGAAAACCTAAATGTCAAAAACAGTCGAAAACACTAGAAGAGACTCAAGAAAATCGATAATTTCAACCGAAAATCTTAAAATTTCCCGCTAATGTTTTTAATAAGTTTCAGTTTCCACTCAACTCTCTCATCAAAACTTCATCTTTCGAAAATCAACGTTCACGACAAAATCGCGCTCTACTGGTCACTCGAAATTCCAATCAATCGGCAGTTTATTGAAAAGTACAGTAGTTAGAAAAAATAACTTTTTTTCAACAAAGCACATTTTCAGAATGGAACGTCAATATGAATTCAAAATTTCGTCACAAGGAGTGTTGATAAATTACACTCGAAAATCACAAGGAGATCGGAGGAATTGGTGGCCGAAACCGTCGGTAATATGGGATTTTGTACTGGAAAAATCGATAAATTCGTGTGGAATATTGATTGCGGGTACTGTAGATGTGAAGAGTGTCGATTTTTGGAAAAAGTTCAATTCGAAATTCAATATCAACAAAAATCCGATGGAAATATGCAGACAGTGAGTTTTTAAAAAGAAATTTTGGCAATTGAGAATTTTCGGAAAAAGTGGTTTTTTTGTAGTTTCAACACCGATTTGATACCAACCTTGGAGGACGAGCGATTGCCATTGGAGAAGAAATTATCGATATTTCATGCGCTGCAAATTCCAATGAAGCCTGCATTTTTGAGAAAGTGAGTTTCGTTGTTCTAAATCAAATTCAAAATAACCATTTTTGTAGATGTCAAAAATTTGCTAAAATCAAAGTTTGCATCTCTACTGGGACCATAAAGTCATTCGGAATGCTCAAAAATGCGCCGGTTATCGATAAAGAGGAGAGTTTTTCAAATGATTTCGACGGATTTTCGCAATATTCAATTTCCGTACCTGACGTCGCCGGCTGCTCAGATTCACCTTCATCGTCTGGAACCGAGTTCTTGAGCATCCAAAATCGAGAATTTTCGGAAAATTCGAAAACGTCGTGTGGCATTCCAGGCTCAGAATTCTTGGAGGCGTTGGGCGTTATCGGTGGAGCAGAATTGAGGAAAGAGTATGAGAGTTTGAACGATAAGGTGATAAATTGATGAAATTTGAACCAGAACTAAATAGAAGTTTGGAGTTTTTGAAAATTTCTCACTAGAGCGGATTTTCTTATTTCACTCGATTTGGAATTCGGGCGAAAAATGAGTGAAATATGAAAATGCGCTTTATCGAAAACATTTTTAAAAAACATTTCCAAAAACATTCTTTCAGACAATCCCCATCGCTATGGTCGAGGAACTGTTCCAGAATGCTCTCGATGCTGTATAATTTCGTTCTCAAATTTTTTTCAGAAACAACTGTTCGCACAAAATTATAATTCTTTTTGAAAAATTTTGTATTTTATGTTTTGTAATTTCTCGTTGATTTACTGTATTGCTTAGTGTTCCTTATTGCATTTATCATGTGAAGTTCTTGTTGGTTTTCCAGGATTTATTGAAATAAAAAAAACGTTTTTTTTTCAATGTTCAGACTTATCCCAAATGGATCACCGAAAGGAACCATCTGCAAACAATTTTTTCCAAGGTTTTTCAAAAAAATTTTTGAGAAAATTTTTAATAGAAGCGCATTTTCTTGTTTTACTCAATTTCTGTCCAAATTTTAAAAATACTAGTGAATTTCAAACATTTTTGTAAGATTTTCATAAAATTTGGACGAAAATTGAGTGAAAATATGAAAATGCGCTCTTATGAAAATGTTTTCGAAAACTTGAAAAGTCCATAAAATTAGACTTGCGAAAGTCGAAAAATTGAAAGTTTTCAGAAAACTTTCATTAGCCCGCATTTTCATTATTTTTTACAGAGCTATGTCCAAATCGCGATTTCTCAGCGATTATCACTACTTATATTAACCAAACATCCGAGGAAGAAAGATAACAGGCATGATGGTCCGAATCCTCTAATAACAGTTTGAATTACTCAAAGTCTGTTTTGTAATAAACTAGAATTGATCTCAATGCTCTTCACAACATCAGATCCAAATCTCATTCTCCCTCAAACCCAACTTTTTTCATTCTCTACACTTCTCACACTCAACAGATTCCCACGTAGTTATTCTTGTAGGTACTAGCTTTGTCTTTGAGTGAATAATGCACTCTAGGAACCAAGTTTTTTCCTGAGCTTTTCAAGTTTTTTGAGTCTTCTCTAAACTCGTTTCGAAACATCTCTATTTTGAAAAGCAATATGAGTGATTCATCTGATCCTCCGATGTGGCCACTTATGGTTTTCTATGGAATTTCTATTATCTCACTTCCTCTCTATATTTTGGTGTTTGCCTGTCTTTTACGTCTTCGGTGTGTTTCTGCCACTTACAATACGACTTTCTATTCAATTTTGTTGCATCACGTAAGTTGAAAAACTAACTCTTAACTTTAAGCTAATTCATCTCGTTTTCTGTCAAAGATATAAAAAAGTGAGCAACTGACAAATTGTTAATCCTAATATCACCAACATTTTATCAGTTGACCCATTTTTGTTATCTCTAATGGGGTTATTCAGGGAGACGGCAAAAAAGGAAAAAAAAACTCCACGAAAACTCGGAGAGGGTTCCAATCTGGCTGAAACTTTGGGGAAAACTGGAGAAAACTATAGGAAACATTTTGCCAAAGTTTGGGGTCAAAATATCGACTTTGAAAATT